ATATATATATATATATATTCTAAATTACCCTTTTTTTCCTTTCTAGAATGACTTCGAATTGTAACATGAAACTACATTCGTTTATCCTAAGTAGCTCTAGGTTCTAAGTACACAGTATACAGCTGCTCATGTGTGAGCTGTGAAACATTATTATTATTCATTTTACCTAATCTAATCTTAACAAACCTAAAAAGGATCCCTATTTTTACATTTTAGTTACTTTTATAATTATACATAAAGAATAAACATGAAAAACAAAAAAATAAAATACTTAAACAATCTTCTTTTTTCTTGCTGTCGGATTTGGAAAAGTTAACCCTACCTTTTTTTATATTAATGGTAGTAATGCACTAAATAAGTTTTATCTAATTAAATAATACACCAATGAAAATAGGTTAATAACATGCAAAATGCAGACAATTTCCTCTAACAATCACAATTTTTCTGGCTTTCTGATGATGGTAATGTACTTAATAATTTTTATTTAATTAAATAAAGCACCAAAAAATATAGATTAATAACATGCAAAAAGTATACAAATTCCCTTACCTGTCAAAATTTTTCTGACTTTCTAACTGTGCGACAAGAGCCAATACAAATTTATCCAAGCTAGTCATTAACTTTCCCACGAGAACAATATTGGCACTCTGAGTGAAACTGACATTTAACCATTCAGAACACAACATTATACAATACATCATTTGGTAGATGAAAACCTTGATTTTCTATTGGTTATAGGTAATGTATAATGAAACGTAAGAGAGAGAACTATCAATGAATTCTGAAAGAGAGGATGTGAGAGGTGGGGTCTGATTTTCCATTCGATAGCTCTGTAACCAAACAAAATTGAAGAGTATAAAAATTATGGTTTGTCTGAGCAATAATAATTTTATAGAGAGTAATTTAAGTGTAATTTCATACTTTTTCAAGGGGTGGTGGATAAAACATGAATGATGACATGCCAAGATAAAATGTGTTTTGTGGGTCACACTAGTGAAAATTCAGGATTTTTTTCTTTTATTGCCTTGTAGAATTAAGAACTTAAAACTTGTATACTATTAAAATATGGATTATTAGCTAAGATTTTATGCTACTCTAATTGGTATAACATAATCAAGAAGTTACTAAACCCTTGTGTCATGCGCAGTAAAGGATACCCAAGGTGATAGGGTTAATGTTTATTTTATGTTCATTATTGTTATATAGTGCTGATTTTAATCGTCTATTAACATTTAATATTATTAATATATTGGAGCTATTATTTCTGTATGTGTATATATATATGTACACACACATTACACTGTAGGTTCTATGCAAGATGCCAAATGTTAATAAAACCAGCTCTGCTATGAATTGTTCATTAAAATATTAAGCTGACAGGGTAAAATTAATTAACCAGTCATATAATAAAAAACAATATAAACACTGTTGAATGTGTGTGTGTGTGTGTGTGTATATGTATATATGTTCTGTTGCTAAAACAAAAAAGTAGCATAAAAATGGAAGGGATATATAAAATTTAATAAAAACAAAGTAAAGTTTGAAAGTTAAGCTTGGTTAAATGCAGATGGTAGTACTTAGAGATGGCTTGTACAAAACCATAGAAGAATGTACCTGGTTATAGATATGTACTTTCAGTTGATTGTTCTTGTATTCCTGAGCTCGTCTAGCATTTTCAGACTTTTTCACAACTTCAGGAAGATTCTGATATACTCTGAAAGAAAGCAAAAAATATTTATCAATTTCAACTGTTTCTAGTTAAATACTTTCATATTAGTCTTGCAACATCTTGCAAAATGCATGTGTAGGTGAAACTGACCCCCTCAAAGAGAATTGGGTGGGTCTATTATATAACAGGAGGATTAGCAGGATATTAGTTAAAACTAACTGAATCTGAGCAAAGAAAAACAGACTGAACATGATTTGTACCAAACAAGAAAACACAATCTTTATAAACTCTTTCTATATGGGGTTGGTGGATTACACTGACCTCATAACCACCAAGTAATCATCAGGTTTCATACTATAACTTTTAATACAGTAGTTGTATCTTCACAAAATTCATGTGAACTTTCAGTAAAACTTAAGTGTCTTTTTTATGCACAGAAAGTCAGATTCTATAGTTATGTATTTTTACCAGATTTGTCTGTGAATAGATGGAGTCAGAGTGTTGACTGCTCCTAGTGCAAAATGATTTTCATGTTAAGGTTAAAGATACTTTTCTTCACCTCAACTTCATATGGCCAACCTTATAACCACCATAAAAAAATGAATAAATAAAATTAATCTAAATTACAACTTTGTTTCTTTCTAGAATGACTGCAAATTGTAGCAGGAAACTACAACTGTTTATCCTAAATAGCTTAGGCTTGTAACAGTTTATATCTTATCCTACTTAATAATATCGTTTTATTGTCCTTTGAACAATGTCTAACTAATAATCCTGCCATACAAGTTGCAAATTACTTGGCAAAAGTGTAGCTCAAGTTACTGTATTCAATGATGTAATGTATGAGCTACACGTGAGTATACCTCATGGAGAATTTTTTTTATAACTTACCTAATCTAATCTTAACCAGCATAATAAGTCTATATTTTTACATCTTAATTACTTTTAAAATAGTAAATGAAGAATACACACGAAAAATAAGAAACAGAGTACTTATATGGGTCTCTTGTTGTTTTGCTGTCAACTGTCAATGAAACTTAAGCCTACTTCTATTTTTATACTTATGGTACTACTACACTAAATAATTTTTATTTAGTTTAAGAAGGCACTTAAGAACACAGAGTAATAATATGCACAAACAAGCAATGTCATATAACTATCATATTTTTTTTGGCTTTCTAACTATGCGATGAAAGCCTATAGAAATTTACCGAAGCCTGTCAACAAGATTCCTGTGAGAAAGAAGTTTCGAACTGAAAGCAAAATAGGCAATTCTCTGTACATATAACAATGTTATATAATACCTTATTTAATATATTGTTACGACATTGGGGTCACGTGACGAATATTCTAGAAGATTCGCTAGTGTGTTGCGACAGCGTTGCGTCAACTGATGCTGGTAGCACGTGTTGGGAGTCTTAGAAGTTTCTAGAACAGGTAGTATTATCGTATATAAGTGCGCTAGACAGTGAGAGAGACAGACAGAGTCGAAGCAGTGGTGGAGACAGAGACGTAGCGGAGACGAAGCAAGCAGAAAGAAAGAAAGACAGCAATTACGGTTGGCGGGAACTGAGGATAGCAGACACAGAGATCGGAACTATAGTTTGCGGGGACGGACAATTAAGTCTAAGCGCGATAGAAAGTGAGTGAATTGTTGTGAACTATAGTGTGTGTAACTGTGAAAATTAAGTACATTACAAAGTTGTATTGAGGAAGAATAAACAAGTTTTATAAAGAAAGGAGTTGTATCTTAGAAGAATTAACAAACAAACATACAGAGACGTAACAATATGAACACTCTAGCTTTCTATTGGTTATAAATAATATAGTATAAAACATCAAAGAGAGCTATTGGAAACTTGTGAAAGAGAGAATGTGACAGATGGGCATGGCAAGTGGGTCTAATTTTCTTGTTTATGGCTCTGTAAACAAATAAGATTGAAGGCTATAAAATTATGCTTTGCCTTAGTAATATCTCTATTATAATGAGTAACTTATATTAAACTGCAGAAGGTGGTAAAGGAACTAGAGAATGGGCAAGACCTGGAGAACAAATGTCACAAATCCCATAAAGGGGGGAGATTGAGAACTTGTATATTATCATTATTCAAGTCAAGCCTAAAATAGAATGTGAAGAGATTGATGTTATAAAAATATTAAATGCTTCTAAGTTAATAATTTACTTCATTAAAGTTTCTTTGGTATTATTCTAAACATTCTTTGTTTGTTTGTATCAGTACATGTACTAATCATTTTGATTTTATATAAGTACAGATAATTGCAACACATGAATAAGGATGGAGTTTGGTCATTGACCATCTGCTGTTTGCTTTTACCAGAAAGGGGAATCAGTGCCCAAATAAGCAAGAATTAAGAATATTATCAACTAAGACAACACATTATTCTAATCTCCATTACATTATACTGTTATTTTGAAAACGTAAGCTGCTACAACATATTATTGCATTTAACCTCATATTTATTGTACAGTACTCAACTGTTTCAGATATTGGTACTTTTAACCACAAATCCACTAGTTTTTATATATATATA